CCACGATTCATGACCGTAGGTAAGTATGGTGATAAAGATCGACTTGAATATTGAGAGCTTAGTTTTCAGAGTGAGCTCTGCTTTAGTCACAACGGGTCGGGCTAGTTCACGGAGAGCGCCACTGGCTACTCCATTTCGCCGGCCGATCTCTTCCTCCAATTTTCCATCACTAGTAAATACAATTCCGAAGTACTTGAAGTACCAGTATATTTCATATGATAAAAGTTTATCCATAGTATACCGCTCTGCCTAATACTGCAGTAAGTATTTTTGTCTGGTAGTATGTGCTAGTTTATTCTGACATTTCGCGTACGCTAATTTTGTGTTAGTAGTCGGTGTATTGCCCGATAATTATTAAGGCTGCTGATAGTACTGAATGGAGCAGCATATGGTTGAATACGATGCATCGATGCGTTGTGTCGTTACATACCCAGAAACAGTTTACGTAATAGAATCCTAGTATTTGTGTGAACAGGCACTGTGGACACTAGTATATGTAATATAGTAATAACGTGTGCATCTTATAGTTTATATTTTTTATAAATTTTCTGCTATGTATACTTTTACTTCTTTATTTCGTTCTTTCGTCTTTGATTCCGGTTAGATGTGCCTTATTAAATACGAACTTGGTTTAAGTTCAACAGACCTATCAGCCCGTACACTTGACCTTTGGTTCTGACTCTTGGTTCACAAGCCTTCGGGATAACCTTAGAATAGAATCCAGTTATATGCCAGTGATCTTCTTTCCAGAATTCCCGACTAGTTGGATACTGGGTTGGTTAATGTACATTTAATGCAATACTTGTATTTACGTATATAAAATTTGAGTTTTTAAGTTGGTAAATTTTCGTAGTTAACGTGTCTTTTTAGATTCATCTGGAGAAACGAGACCACTTTGACCGAAATGTACGATCATCGTTCATGAACATCCTGCGTGAATCGATTTCAAGCACTTCGTCTACCTTGACCGAGCGCTTCCGCGTAAACCATGAGGTTTTCGAACCGTCTCCTGAAGTTTTGCAGTCGTTTACGGCGTATATGAAGGAAAAGATTCGCTGTCGGCTACGTGTGGATTGTGATTACGAGAAAAAGAAGTTTCCGCATTCCGAGTCGGTCTTCAAACCGTGAAAGATAAGATGGCGTCCTCGCTGTGAAGGTGATCATACGGCTGCCATGATGGATGACAACACTTAGGGTTGACGAACGATCTTTACTTATTTTCTTCCTGTTGATCATATTATAGTTGGCTTTAATCTCTGTTATTGATTTTGGAATTTTTTTCTGGTTTTGTTTGTAAACGCAGTTGTGACGCCTTCTTGCTCCCGTTCATTGTCTTGATAGAAAGCAACATGCCTTGTAACGATTGTCATAAAGTGGGTGTGCCTAATTCATGCCATTACTGGCCGTATGATCTTTAGATGAATGACGACCTTGTAAATTTTTGCGAATTAAAATTTTGTTTCAGCCACAGTTCTCTACGTGTTTTTGTTTTAAAAGGCAGTAGCAGAATTCTTTATGCGAGTGAAAAGTTGTTGATCGTCATAATCGTAAAACGACTTGCTCTGTATGTAAACTTTTTAAAAAATAAACATCGATGTTTCGGATCGAGCTGGATCCATCTTCGGTCGACATTATATTACAGATGTCGTATTGGTAGAGTGCTATCGATAATGGTTACATATTGTGGGATGCTGATACGGTGGCATAGACATTATTGATACATGTCACAGTTTAAGCTGATGAGTTTCGATGTAATTCAGTCTTGGTCTTCCTCGCCAACTGCATTGCGTCTTACTCTAGACTGACGACAAGTCCTCTGCCTTGTCTCTGTCAAGACATTTGCATGTTTGTATCAGCAGTACTTTTCAATCGTCCTATCCCCGTAGTTTCTTTCTCGCCGTACCTCATATCAAACTTAAATGATATGACCCGCTCACCGCGTGTTCAATCAATGCGATTTTTTATTTCGGTCAGGCTTTCCGTTTATTTTCTTATGCGCCGTTTTCGATCTATTTTAGTTTCATTTTTTGACTTACGAGTGGTGACCTTTTCTCTTATCTTTGAGCCGGTTTCTCCAACCTACATAGCTCCGCGATCGCAAGGAATTGTATACATCTAGTCTTGTCTTTCCTGGTACATTCTGATACATTTTACATGAGTATCATGCATATGTAAGCTGACTATGAAGCGTGACAATACTCGAAAACCAATCGTATTCCTTAATTCATAAGGTACAAGAAGCCCTGGTAACTCGATCATTCCAGTTCATGAATTAAGACACTGCAACAAAACTCTAATCGAGAACGAAATTGTTATACTACTTCCACCATCGAATCTAAATTTGTAAGGCAGTCTGACAGTAACCATTTATACTGGCAGTTGTTTTATTACATCTCTCCTACTAAGTTTAAGCACTTTTAAGCGTTGTACCGGTTTTAAGGTGAAGTCGGATTTCTGCTGTTTGCTTCTACCGAGACACTTCTGCGATTAAGGTTTACACAATTCAAGTCAACAGACAACGGTCATTTTACCTGTCTTCCGAAGTAATCTATGAAGCATCGTGTGCATTTTTTGTCCATTTTGCTCATAGATTTCCATTTTCTGTTCACGGAGCGCATCCCATGACCAGAGTCTCTTGGCATGTTTTCTTGGTATAAATAGGTACTACGACCCCAACTATTTTGTTGCAGATTAACATATCATAAAACATACTTTATGTTATTTACAAGGGTCAAGGTACAACTTTGCGAGGCGAAAGTTAGTATTTCAAGTACAACAACACGACAATAAAAGATTAACTGAAGCTAAAATTCTAGACTATTTCACCACTTCTGGCATCGGCTTCGTCTGTCAGTCATGGGACTGCGGGTCTCAACTGAGGAGAAGGGCTCACAAAAAGGGCAGTAGTTTTGTTATCTGAGGTGTCGATGGCTAATTCCTGAAATGTGACAAATAAGACAGAACAAAACAACTAAATGATGTTTCCACATTAAAAACTGTCAAAAATCAAGAAACAATTATCCAAGTAATGGAGAAGCTTTTGCTGTCCGAGGTACAACGGATACGACAAGTCAACTCGATGTACAGAGGAAATTTCGTGGCGGTATGAAGCATGCAAATGACCCATCACTACAGAGTAACTGTGTAAGCAGCTGCCTAGCTAAGTCCTCTGACGACGACCACACGGGTCACTTCCGTGCCGGTGAGAGCTTAACTCTGCGCGCCATGTCCATGAACAGATTTAGCTCCTTATGTGGCGGGGCTTCTTTGATAGATACTCAACAGTTCGAGCGCTGTAGGCATCCATTTGAGTTCGTCTGTTCATTTCGGTTTTCGCTGTGCCAGCTATATATCTGACGTAAACCGAGTGTCACTGGCAAAACCAGGAAC